TTGTTTTGCTCTGATAGAGGTATGAGTTAGGACATAGAAAAATACATCTTGGGGCAAACTTGTATTTTGAGATGCAGCTTTTGCTATTTTGCCAGCATCTGAGTTGTTTATCCTTGATATATTTTTTACTGTGAAGCCTTCAAAATATTTCTCTTGCTCTCTTAAAAATTGCAAGTATTTTGCTAGCTCAGGATCTCTTGCCTTGTAATCTTTTTCGATGTGTCCAGCCACAACTGGTCAGTCTATTTTGATTATTAGTCTTTGGATCCCCATTGCTCTTGCTTTTCGAAGTCCGAGCAAAACGGCTTCGTATTCAGCAATATTGTTGGTACATTGAAATTCAAGTCTTGTAACATATTTCATTTTGACCCCTGAGGGTGATGTGATTATTGCTGCTGCGTCAGCCCCTACGAAGCCCCATGCTCCATCACAATATACTATCCAGTCAGGTTGCTTTTTGTCTTCGCTCTGGTTTTGAGACGGAGTCCAATCTGCCACGAAATCTGCCAAGACTTGGGATTTTATTGATATTCTTTTTTCAAATTCGATGTAGTACTGAGATAGTTCTGCTGCCCATTTTCCCAATCTTCCAGATGATCAGCAACTTTGCAAAACTTCTTTCAGAGGTTAGTTTGTTGGTACTCTAATTTTGTGTGCTGAGAAATAGTGCTTCAATTTTCTTCCTGCTGTTAAAACTGCATAAGCTATTTTTCAATCTATGAGTAATAGATTTTTGAGCCAAACTAGGCTTCTAAAACAAAGTAGACTGGGACTTGTCTTTTTGTGTGCTCATTTTCCTGTTCTTCAATTAAGACTGCACTTACTGCGCTTTCTGTTGCCGAAACATATAGGAGCAATTTAGCCCCTAGGGTTGGTGTGGCCAGAGTGTTTGGTTTTGACAAGTATCTTTTTATTTCTTCAAATACAAGTTGCTGCGAAGGTCCCCATGCGAAATTTCTTTTTGTTCCTTTGAGTGCTTGAAATATTGGTAGACTTCGCTCTGCTAATTCTGAAATAAATCTGTTTAAGGCGGCAAGTCTTCCTGTCAACTTTTGGTCGTCCTTTATATTTTCAAGAACTTTCATGTTCAAGATTGCTTGGACCTTGTCTGGGTTTGGATCGATTCCTTTTGCTGATACGATGCAACCAAGAATTTTGCCCCTTTGGACTCTGGAGGTGCACTTTTCAGGATTCAACTTTAAATTTACTTCCCTGAGATTTGTAAATGTTTCTTGGAGGTCTTTGATGTGATCTCCTCCTTTCTTGCTTTTGACTACTATGTCATCAACATAGGTGAGTAGATTTTTGCCGATTTGATCACGTAGCACTGCTGAAGTCATTCTAACAAATGTTGTGCTAGCATTACGAAGCCCATCTGCCATTCTTACAAAACAGTAGGTCCCAAATAGGGTGATAAAGCTTGTGAATTCTTCATCTTCTTTTCTCATCCAAATTTGATGATAGCCGGAAAAACAATCCAAGAAACTTAACATTCCACTTTCGGCTGCTTGATCAACTAATGTATCAATTCTTGGTAGTGGGAAATTATCTTTTGGACATGCTTTATTGAGATCTACGAAATCAATGCACATTCGAAATTTTCCATTCTTCTTCCTACCATGACAATGTTTGCTAGCCAAGTTGTGAATTGAACTTCTCATATGACTTTTGCATCAAGCAATCTTTGGACTTCGGCTTTGGCAGCCTGAACTCTACTTTTTTGGTCTAACTTTTGGATCGATGTCGAGTTTGTGCTCAATTATGTCTCTGTTGACTCCTCCTAAGTCATTGGATGACCAAGCAAATACATCTTTATTGCTTCGAAGGAATTCCATAAGTTTGTCTTCTTCATTTTGAGAAAGTCCAGTACTAATGATGACTTGTTTGTCTAGGACTAATGGATCAAGAGGTACTCTTTTTGTTTCTTCGCAAGCTTGAGCTTTGGGTTGACGCTTCGCATTTTCTATTTCTTCTTTTTCTTCTTCTTCTTTAGTGATTGCGTGAACATTCTTTTGTCCTAGAGTATATTCTTTTTCAATGTTTCTTGCCTCGGTTTGGTCTTCGTGGATTGTGACTACTCCATTTATTGCTGGCATTTTCATGCACAGATAAGAGTAGCTTATTACTACTTCGAATGCGTTTATGGTCCCTCTTCCGAAAAGTGCGTTGTATGGGTAATACATGCCAACCACATCAAATGTTATTTGCTCTGTTCTTGCATTGCTTACTGTTCCAAAAGAGACTGGTAAAACTATCCTTCTAATTGAATGGATCTTTTTTCCACCAAAGCTATAAAGTGGGTGCTCAACTCTTCCCAATATTTTGTGATCGATTTTCATGGAGTCTATTGTTGATGTGAATATAATATCTATAGAACTTCCGCCATCAACTAATATTTTTGAGACTGCCCATCCATCAATATTTGCTTTGATTACCATTGCATCCATATGTGGGTAATCTTTCAATTGAAGGTCTTCTTCTGAAAATATTATGGGTAAATGGGACCATCTTGTTTTCTTGTATGGGCCTTCCATTGAAATTGAATTTACTCTTTGGAAGTAGTTTCTTATTTGACTATTATTTTCATGTTCTATGCTATTTCCTCTCGTGATTATCAATATTCTTCCTCTGCTTGGGATGATTGCATTATTGTTTATTGCTGAAGCTGATGGAGAATTGTTGTCTTGCTTGGCTTGACTGTTTTGAGGGTTGTTGTTTGCATTCGAAGCTTCAGGTTGTGTTGATTGGACATTGGATTGTTGAGGTTGATTTTGCCTCCATTGATTATGCATGGGATTATACATTGCTAGGGGTTCATAGCTATATGTAATAGGTGGCCCTGGAAGTAGTGCTTGCGCATGTTCATAGTGCATTGGGTAATAAGTTTGATGAAAACTTTGCTGTTCTTGTCTTACATGATTGACAACTTTTGACTGGCTTGGTGCCCTGTTTTCTTCTTGGGCATCTTCAATGCTTTTCTTTACTTTGGGACACATTTTGGGTGTATGTCCAGCCCCTTTGCCATGAATAATGCAGTACATGTCTTTGGGTTTTAAAGGTGCTCTTCCTCTTCCTCCTTTTCCTCTTGTGCTGAAGCCTCCTCTGTCAAATGTTCTTTCATTGAATTAACTTCGCTGGTTGTATTAATTTTGGTGAGTATAATCACTTTTAGCTGTTGAATTGTTGTCATTCTCGATTTGATTGACTTGGTTGTGTGGTGTAAATGGTCTTCGCTCATAGTTGTTTGGTCTTGGAGGATGGAAGTTGTTGATTTGCTTGATTTGAGCCCTGAAGTTGTTTTCTTCCTCAATTCTTTTTTTGTAATTGTTATCTGACTAGCAATATTTTTGGATGACTTCATAAAGCTCAGCAACTGTGGTTGGTTTTTCTCGAGCAAGATGAGAAGCACATTGGCCTACTCGAAGCCCTTTGATTGTGGCTATTATTACCACTTCGTCTGGTATGTTTGGGATTTGTGCCTTCATTTGGAAGAATCTTTTGAAATATTGGCTCAGGGGTTCTTTGATTTGTTGTTTGCAATTGAAAAGATCTATATTTGTAAGACCAACTGGCTAGAATCCTTGAAAGTCGACAAGTAAGTTTGCTTTGAGTTGATCCCATGAGTGTATGGATTTTGCTTTTAGCGAAGAGTACCATTGTTGTGCTGGTCCTTTTACTGCCATGACAAGTGATTTTGCTAATGTAGTTTTATCACCTCCTCCAAAAATTACTACGGCTTCAAAGCTCATCAGAAATTGTCTTGGGTCAGATTTGCCATCAAATGTTGGTATCATATTGAATTTGTACCCCAAGGGCCATTGTGCCAACTCTAAATTTATCGAAAGAGGAGAGCTTGTGTCAATTGATATGAATGACTTTTGGGAATTCTTCTCTTGAGAAACTTTGGCTGCTGAGTTTGGGTCTTCTAACTGTATGACTTCGTGACTTGCACTTTGAATTTGTTCATTTAGTTCTCTAAGTGTGGCTTCGGCTTCTTCTATTCTTTGTTTGACAGACTTTTCTCTTGCTCTTGTGCATCATTCTTCGAGTTCTTTTTGCTTTCTCAAGACTTGCTCTTCTAGATCCCTGAGTCTTTGTTCTTCGGCTTCGCTTGCCTTTGAAGAGCTTGGGTCTTGGGGTGTATCTTTTCAAGACTTTGGTCTTTGACTGTTGGTGGGTCATCTTCGGTTACCCTAGTGGTAACTTTCTTGTTAGGTCTGCCCATTAGCATTGCGTGATCGTGGGAGTTTTTTAGCACATACAAACGGTGGGCGCCAGATGTTGGGTAAAGAAATTACTCAAGCGTCAAAGTTTGAACACAAGACAAAGTTGTATTTATTTCATGATTGTACCGTACATGTCAGAGGGGGTATTTATAGAGACCCTAGTCTTCGTATTTTACATAAAATGACTATTTTACCCGTAACTCAAATAATTACAACCCTTTTCAACTATAAGGGCGAAGTAGTCTTTTTTCCTATCCAAGCTTTCATTCTTCAGCTTTTGGTCTTCAACCTTTTTTATGTCTTCATATCTTGGACTTAGTCGATTCCTACTCCGTTTCTTTTCCAAATCCAGAATGTCAAGCGAAGTCAAATCTTCGTCTTCGCTCGGTTTTATTTCTTTCTTCTTTTTGGCGAAGACAAATTCCCTTCAGCGAAGACAAACTTTTTCCTGCGAAGTTAAATTTTCATCTTCGTCCTGCTTCTTTTTCCTGCAAGCAAACTTTGTTATGGAAATCACAATTTCAACTCCAAAGTTTCAGGGGCTGAGTTTTCTTGGTGAAGTTAAATCCCCAACACATAGCTTCAATATTTGTTGTAATATCTTAGTGACATATAACATTTGAGACTGCATAGACCAAAGTCTGCCGGAACATTATTACTTGAAATAAACATAACTGAACGAAACTACTGGTGGTAATCTCTTAAAATTTAACTCCAACACCTTATTACATAATGCCATTGCCCACTCTACAGAACTATTTCTGCCAACATAAATTACTTCCCGGCCTCATTTGTGTCATCTTTGTCATTGGTTCCACCCCTACCCTCATTATTATCCTTTGCCTTCTCTATTGGTAGGTCGGTGAGGCTGCCTGAGCTAGAAGTTCCCTCTAAATTACCCTTCCCAAGGAAGTTGAAGAAGCGGAGCTGCCCTCCATCTGCAATGTTGTAACGCTGGGCAGTGGCACGTAGTGCATGCTTCTTCTTCTTCTTGAAGATGCGACAGACAACCCAGGAGTCATCTGGATTAATCGTCATGATAGGAACAAACTTGTAGTAGCATTGGAGAGAGCTTCAGAGAGATTATCCTTTTTCTACAGAGAGTTCACAAAACTATTTGTTATGCAGTGTCATTTTAGGTGAAAATGGGTAAAACATGGTGAATACTAATGTTGTTTTACATAGGACAGCAGCTAGGCTTGGCAACAAAAGCTAAGTTTGAGTTTACTAATTTTACAACTGACCAAATTGGACAGCATGAATAATTTTTTTATTATATGTCTTTCTCACTAGTCAAAATGATGAAGGTTATTGAATCAGATAGTTTTTAGATGTTCTCTATAAGCAACTATATGTTAGGATATAGGCCCAATGCTTGAGATGTTACATCAACAATTCCACGAGAAACAAGTTACCGACACGTGTTGTTGGCCGAACTAGTCAAGCTTACTTTCAAGCAAACCGACAACAAACTCTTTTTTACATCAATATTTTGAATCTCCGAAGAATCCCGCCCGAGGACAACTAACTATAACTATTTCCCCACATAAGAAATTTTGCCACACCAAGTAGTAAGATTCACTCTTAAACCATGCAGATTATCATGTATAGCACCCCCCCCCCCCTAATTGACATGCAACCAATAGTATTCAAGAACAAAATTCTTTGGATTTTGAGTCAATATACCTTTGTGATTGCCACTGCATAACGGCTGTATTCTCCTAGGTTGTTGGTTCCACTGGGACTAATCACTGGATAGGGTGTGAGGCCGGCTTGAACAAGGCTATATTCATGCATGACCCATTCTGTGTTCTCACCAGCTGCTGCCTTGCCAAGGTAGAACACCAGTGTTTTCTTTAGCCCAACCATCAAAGGCATTCCACCATTGATGATATTGCTAAAGATGGGCACGTCCTTACCCGATGCCCTCCAGTGTCCATCACCTGCTGCACGATTGTACCGGTTTCCATGTGGCCATCTTTGTACTCTTTGACAAAAGAAGTATTTCTCCACAGATCCCTCTGTGTACATACAGCAATAAAACAAGAAAACCAAGCAGGGAATTTTAGTCATACATAGATCAGATCAAATTGTAGCAGGAGCAATCAAATGAAATCAAAAGGAACTTATAGATGTATTTGTTGTGAAAGGTTGGTGTATGTGCACATGACCTGGTACTAGGTCCCAAGGGTTGCAGCTTAGGATAACCAAATCAACAATGAACGTTGAGGGGAGTGGTTCATTCACTGCACGAGGACGAAGGTAGCATGTCACGATCTCCTCTTCAGTAGGTTTAAACTTGAACCCTGGCTTGAGATCCACAGAGGCTTCACTGGCTGTGGGCTTAGAGAAATCCATGGATGTGCACAGTTGGGTGAATGGTGGGCTCTACTCTAGATATGGCGAGCTTTATTCGAGATTATTTGTTGATGGAGATAAAAGTGTGGGAAAGGGACATTTATAGGTGGAAGGGGGCTGTTACCTTGCGTGAGGGTAACTCATCTTTATCTACTCTCCTATGTCACTATCCCTCTACACATTTTTTGTCCTCCCCTTTTTTTGGTCCCCACCATCCAGTGTGTGCCTAAAAAGATATGATTAAAAAGCCCCCCAGATAAGGGTTTATCTCCACAGCTTCTCCCCTAAAAACCCATGAAGTTTATAACTTACCCCCTCCCCTCAACCACTTCATTTTGTATGATTGTTCCTCTTTGGTGACCTTCAAATCTAATTTTTTTTGCAGCCCCTTAGGTGTTATGTTATATGGGTTCCTAGTGGTTCAAATGGGGTGGCACTAGCTAGTTATGTTTTCTGCATTACTAACTTGGTAATCTGCTAGAGCAATGGAGACGATGTCCATTGGTTATTCATAGTTCCTTCATAACTAGCTCCAAGGATATGTTTTTCTTTTTACCTCCACTGCAGTGTAGCTTTGTTTGACCTCCTTTTTATTTTGCACCGATAATTGTATGTACTTGTTCCATTCACCAATTTTTGTTGCTCTTATGCTAGAAAATAATTTCTACATAGTCCAAACATGGAAAAGGGGTAAAGTGTGGGGGACTCAAGCTCATTTTTCCCCACTATTCCGCCAACAGAATTTGTTCTCTTTCGATCCAGACAAAGAAATACTAGGTGTCAGTGACTAGGCCTTGTTTCTTGTTTCTTTCCATGATAACAGTTCATCTCATCTAGTTATTTTAATCCACCATTTTAATTTTGAGTCTCTTGTGGGGGAGCTGATGCATGGAGTTAAGATGCAGACATATGAGACTGAAACTATGTGCAATAAAGGGTTTCTGGTAGACCTTGCTTCCAAGTTTGGTCCAGTCTTCAATTACATGGTTATGTTTCTTGTATGTTTTTATTGTTTATCTAAGTAAGTACACAGGCTAATAACTATTACTATGTATGTTATGTTATTATTTTAATTAAGTAAATCTTGAATTAGTTACCAACAAAGCTATAGTCGCACACATCATCAAAGCATCACATATCTATTAGTTTTATATTGCTTCCATGGGCATAGTACCATCTATTGCAAAATGGTTTAGAGATTTAGATATCGGTCCATCTGATTATTCTTCTATGTTTGCGTCATCTGCATGTGGAGAAGGGATAGAGTGAGGGACAAGCTGACTTTTCCACTCTATCTTTACCATCAGTACACTCAAGCTAATTTTCCCACTCTATATATCTATAACAAATAAATGTATTCTATGGACAATTTTCACTCTGTCTTTAATCAACAGAATTTGTAGTGTTTCAACTCAAACAAATAGATGCTTTGAGTAAACGAGTAATACTTTTTATTTTATCTATCAGTTTCTGCTTTCATAGTAGTTTGTCTCATCTAGTTAGTTGAGCCTACCTTTTTGTTTCATGTGTCCAGTGGGATGACATGATGCATACAGCTAGAGACATACCAGAGCAAAATTATGGGTCATTGACAATATATCTTGGATACTACTTTTAAGTTCGCTTATGTCTTTCTTTCGGAAATAGGAGTGTATATAGATCTGATAGCTACCAGCTGCCCTGCATCAATCGAACCCCACCAACTGCGATGGCCCCCCTAGATCACCACCCCCACCTATTCCCAGATCCAGCTTTGCAATGTCCCCTTCCTCCACTAGTGACGGCAACCTACATCACCACTCTCTAGGTGAGGGCAGCCGGTCAGCGACCAAATTTTCATCCATGGCAACAGTGTTAACCCTGGTGGCAGCAATGACCTGGCACCAAGCGTAGACAGTGGTGCCAACCTTATGGTTTCCTTCAAGAGCAATGGCACCCACAGTGGTGTCACCACTACTGGCTTCGACAGCCTCCTCCACTAGTATAGAAAAGCTTTTTAGATGCGGTTAAAATTGGTTTTCAGGTGCAGTTTGAAAAACCGCTACAATGCTATCGATTGTAAACCGCATCGTCCGGTCCCTGCTCGAAGTGGGAAAATATCTTGTCAGAATCCAAATCCAAAACGATATATGTTCTACGTCAAAAACGCAAAACGCCAACGCTCAAGTCCTAAACGACGTACACACGCTACTTGCAATGGGTCGGATGGAGTTTGGGCCGTAAGTTTGCATATTATATAATTTTATATCTTCTTATCCATAAAAGATTGCATTATTCTGAACAACAATAAAAAAGATAGGCTCCTCAAATTCAATGACTCGACATTTTTCTAAGTGCTTTCTCTTGTTATGTTAAAATTTCTTACTCTCGTTGCAGCGCACAGATATAGATCTAGGATTATTATCATCTCGCTGTAGGTATGGGCAAAAAATCGTGGCCTTTTTCGGCTCCGTTCGAATCCTTGTTTTCTGAATTCTCTCCGGTTCCATGCCTTCCGGGAACTGTCGCGCCTCACCAACAGGCTCTCGGGGGCGGCAGCATCGGATGGGTGTACCACGCCAAGCTTCCCTACAGGTGCGAGGTGGCCAGCAAGCAGGCCCGTCAGCGGTGTCACTTCGACGCAGAGCACGCTCTGCGTGGAGCTTCTGCTCATGTCACGCGTGAACCACAACCTGCTGCAACTATTGGGCTTATGCGACAAGCGCATCCCGATATTCGAGTTTATACTCTCCACGGCGCGCTCCACGACCACCTACACGGCAGCAGCCGCGACGGCTCACTCGTCGTGCCCCTCTTCAACGTGCACTGCATGGGCGTGTGGACGTGACGACATGTGATGTCATTATGACATCACAGTGACTGTTTTCCCTTATAAAATAATTGAAGAAATACGATGGTATATGTATATGTACGCACATCCATAAAAAAAGGGAGCAGACCCAGTGCCGGAGGCTCCCACGTGAGTGGCGTCTGGAAAAGTAAAAAACCGAGGCAAGCCTTCCCTCGTAAAACCTGCGAAGATGCTGCTTCGAACCCGCGACCTGGTGACTCAGTGAGATAGCTCTCACCACTGCACCAGGCCTGCCCTTCTACGCACATCCATAATAAAAAAAATAAACACCAATACTCTTATGGCCCCGTGCAACGCACGGGCATATATCTAGTCTAATTACATATATAAAATATAAAGCATATTTCATAATTTTCATCACCTATATATATCGTGTAGATCTAGTCTATAAAAACATAATAACATTGTTTCCACTTTTTTTAATACTTGTGTGATTTATTCTTATGCATTTTAAAAGTTTAAGGCGATTTCAAACATTTTTATAAAATAATGAAAAGCTAATAAATGATTTTGCACCGTGGGAGTAGTAAACTATTTCCATAACTATTTAGTCCTTCTCTGTTTTTTATCTTTAGTTATTTATCAACTGAAACTATATTCTCTTTCTATTTACTCTTCACATCCCTCTCTTTTCGCTAATGCTTGGTCACGGTGTAGCGTCGAGATGGCAGACTAGAGGGGATGAATAATTCTTTCTAAATTTAATCGTACCGGCTAACCGAAACGAATGCTGAATTTAAAACTATCGGTATAGTCAAGACTACACCCCTCAATCGAAGTTTTTAAGCACCTTACAAAGATCCTAAATAGAAAACAAGGGTGTCGGACTAGGTAGAGCGCACCTAACAATTCTAGCTTGCAAGGTCACACAAACCTATGCAACTAGTACTTCACACAACCGAGGGAGCTCCTACACAACTAGTGAAGCAAAAGCACAAAGCCCCTAAGCTCACTAGTAATGCTCAATAACAAAGCTACACAAGCTAAATTAGAAAGCGCAAATTACTTAGCTCTAAGTTGTTTGCTGGATGGTTGCTTCTGTGACACACTTCTGGTCCTAGCTCCCAAAGGCAGAATTAATGGTGCTGCTTCTTGGGCCCAGCTGCACAAGGGACAACCACCGCTAATTTTGAAACCTCCCAACCAAGATGCCAACATGAGTATATTCCACATACAGCAGTATAGCATTCTGGAAGATCATTTGTAATGATTTTCCTAGGAATTTTCTTTTCTCGTGGCCTTACAAAAGAGAACTGACATTGTCTATCAACAACAACAATAACAACAAAGCATTCAAGTTCCAAACAAGTCGGGTAGGCTAGAGTTGAAACCCAACAGAAGCAATCAAGGTTCAAGCACGTGAATATCTATTTTTCAAGCACTCCTATCTAAGGCTAAGTCTTTGAGTATATTCTATCATTTCAAGTCTCCTTTTATTGCCTTTACCCAAGTCAACTTCGGTCTTCCTCTACCTCTTTTCATGTTACTATCCTGGCTTAGAATTCCACTACGCACCGGTGCTTCTGGAGGTCTCCGTTGGACGTGTCCAAACCATCTCAACCGGTGTTGGACAAGCTTTTCTTCAATTCGTGCTACCCCTAATCTATCACGTATATCATCATTCCGAACTCGATCCCTTCTTGTATGACCGCAAATCCAACGCAACATACGCATTTCCGCGACACTTATCTGTTGAACATGTCGTCTTTTTTAGGCCGACATTCTGCACCATACAACATAGCAGGTCTAATCATCGTCCTATAAAACTTGCCTTTTAACTTATGTGGTACCCTTTTGTCACATAGGACACCAGATGTTTGGCGCCACTTCATCTACCCTGCTTTGATTCTAAGGCTAACATCTTCATCAATATCTCCGTCTCTCTGTAGTATTGATCCTAAATATCGAAAGGTATCCTTCCTAGGCACTACTTGACCTTTCAAACTAATATCTTCCTCCTCCCGAGTAGTAGTGCCGAAGTCACATCTCATATACTCAGTTTTAGTTCTATTGAGTCTAAAACCTTTGGACTCCAAAGTCTCTCACCATAACTCCAGTTTCAGATTCACTCATATCCGGCTTTCATCAACTAGCACTACATCGTTCGCGAAAAGCATACACTAAGGGATGTCCCATTGTATGTCCATTG